AGAACCCTCAATTATATTACGTCAATATCTAGATTGGTTTGCGACGATGCAGATGACAAAGGCCTGTCTTCGTTGGGATTACAAAGCTTTGTATTTGTAAGTAGCGCAGCGTTACAATATCAAGTCTACGCTTGCTCTTGAGGTGACTTGTGGTCGTCCAGTGATTGTCAACTGTAGGGAGGTTGGAGTTTGTTATAGCAACCTTTTTTTTTTGGGGGGGATAAACTCATCCAATTACTTCTTTCACCTCGGAGGAAGCGAAAGGTGTCACATTCTTACTGTCTCAAAACTACTAGTTCCTACTTTTGCACTTCGAGCCGTACAACCTGTTAAGTCCTGCGCGCCTCCGTATCGACATCAGCCCTACTGACTCCATCTGTGGTGGCCTCATCTGCGGTGGTCTCATGTAGCTCCATCTTCAAGTAAAACAAACATGTACTTATCTATGTATCCACCCACTTGTACAATGGGGGGCGCATTCGCCTGACTACCACTAAGTTAACGTTTGCTGGCATCTAATGAGATCCAGCCTCGCCCTATGGCCTTGAATTGATGAATGAAGTGAGGTGGTGGGCAGGGTTAGCGCCAGCGCAGGTAGCCGAACAACATCAAACGCATCACTGACTAGGGGATTACTCAATAAGCAACGTTATCGCTTTTCTATTAGTTGATACATTTATGGGGTACACACACGCAATATTTTAAATGATCAGGCAGATCTGTCCTCCACTATTCATCCACTGCAATTATTAGACCAAAAAGTTTACAAACGAATAAGGTGCTTACACTTCACCTGGCTGCAGAATCGGATAATATCGATTGACACTCCATTTTCATACCCAAAACTTTAACTCCTCGAGCGTCCTTATGAGCACCCGTTTGATTATAAGGAACGCAAACGCTCGAAGGGTTAAAACTCATAATCACTTTAATAATACTAAAGTGATTATGAGTTTTACAGCTGTAAAATTAATGCCCATTCTGGTCCATCGCATTGATGCTGGAGCCTAGACGAGGCGAGACCACGATGCGGCGGGTAAAGCCATGCACACAATGGAACAAAATGCATCTAAACATGTTATCCACAAGTATAACGTAGGCATTACGTGGGCTTTAGGGTGCGTTGAGAGGGACTTGTTGCCATGCCATCATGTATTCAAGTGCTATCACATCAAGCTAACCGAATCTGTAAAATTCTTTCATATGAAACCTTGTACCAAACTGGTAAGGTTGAAAATCTATTTAAAATGATTGGAGCACATTCATGTCCTGCTAGAGCATTGTTTGGTATGGTTTGATTGCATATTTCCGATGTTGCATTGCTTTGTACTTTGAAATCTGTATTTGATTGTCTTTCGTATCATATTGTGGACTGTGTGTACAAATATTTGTATATGTATCTTTTGCTGAAATGGGATACATGTAGAGGTACTATATACGTCTACTTGCCATTTATATTTTGTTTATTTTTTCAAGTGATGTCTGTAATCAATCAATACAGTATTTTCTCATCGTTTTCCTTTTCATGCGTGCAGAATAAATTCAAATTTTGTCCTAGAATTTTTACATCGCACAAGTTCATATACGACTCCTTTTTTATAAAAAAACTTAAATTAAAAATATTCGGATACTAAACTAAGTAGGTATTGTTTATATCTAAACCGTAAACAAAGAAGTGAATGTAATATTCAAACTAGGTCCCTATTTGTAGTATTACCTACGTATAGGTCCTATACGATAGGGGATTAAATCAGAAAACCAACCCCTCTCATAATTACATTGATTTGAGGGATTCGTCGAACGCAAGCAGAAAGGGGAGAGGTGACTACTGGACAAACAAACTGCTCAGAACATGCTACGGTTTATTTTTAAAATATAGCGTTACCTTTTGTACATTTATCCATTTATTAATTAGGATACGTGGTATTATTATTTCATGCGTTCTTTGAAAGATAAATATCTATATTGTGATGATAATTGACTGCCTCTTGGCCGAGTGGTCGCAAGTGCGACTGCCGGGCAAGGGGTCTAGGGTTCGATTCCCGGGTCGGGCAAAGTATTACTGGGATTTTAAAAATCTCAGTAGGTAGTAGCACGGAGTCTGGAAATGTGCCCGGTATATGGCAATAGGCTTACCCCCTATTACATGGGACTCATAACATAAATAGTGAAAAGTGGGTGTTACATTGTACAGCGGCATTAACTGCCGAAATGTGCACCTCTGCCTACTCCTTCGGGGATAAAAAGGCGTGATGTTATGATGATGATTGAAAATATCGGAAAAAATGTTCGTTGTTTTTCCACTGAAAACCCAAGTGGTCCAGTGGTCCAGTTGTCGAGAGCTGCTTTTGTGTTTGAACAAAACGAAACACAAAGTTAAGCTTATTATTTCCCGAAGTAACTTTAAGTGGCCTTGTATGACATTTTATCCGTAGTAAGTCACTATACTGGAATCTGGAATTGTGCCCGGTATATGGCAATAGGCTCACCCCCTATTACATGGGACTCATAACATAAATAGTGAAAAGTGGGTGTTAGATTGTACAGTGGCATAATGTGCACCTCTGCCTACCCCTTCGGGGATAAAAGGCGTGATGTTATGTTAGTCACTATACCTAGTAGAAAATGTTTATCTTCATCTTCATAATAACGAAGACATTGAGACATATAAATCAAACCACTTATATACATCCGATGGACACTTGAGAAGTCGTCTCAAAACTCTTGAGGTCCACCATAAAACCTTTACTCAGTAAAGAAACATCCAAATTCAATTACTCAAATTAAAACGACAGACTAAGTACCTCCTGCATAAGTCTCATCTAAACAGGAGCCAATAATTAATTAAGTCTGGAAAGTTCCCCAGGAGAAGTTATGGAAGTACAGGCTCCTACAAACATGAGGGAAACTCAAAAACAAATACTCAAAAGCAACCAGTACCTCTACCATGAGCTTGCGCCATTTTAAAGCAAGAGTATTTCGCGACACTCGATAGCGATGTAGTGATTTTTTTGTATGCCAAATTTTAGTTCCATAAGTGACCGCTAGAGGCGCTGTAAAATTTATCATACAAACATGTTGCGTCGTCATTATCGAGTGTCGACAAATATTTTAACTCATGGTAGAGGTACATCATCAACATAATATGTATGATGCCATAACTTTATTTGAAACTAAAATAGTCACTGGATTTTCTGAATGTTGATTCAGGACTCCATAATGTCTCTTTTGAACTTCAACTTCGCCTGAAGATACGGTTGGACGAACTTTGTCCATTTAATTAGCAAATAGGTGCAGACGTACGACGGATGGAAGTGCATCGAATTGGACTTTTGTGTGTGCTGCATTATGGAAAATGTTTTGGGAACCAATGTTTTACTTTAATTTGTTTATACCTTTCCTATTCATAGTAAAAGTTTCATGAAACACAAAATTTACCACCTCCTTTTTTGTAGTGGGATTTCTTATTTTTTGGTACACAGTAATGCTGTAATAAACTTCAGTTTAATTTTAATGCGCTTTATTCAAAAAAATATATATCATTTGAATCTATTGAAATAATGAATTCAATGTAACTATTCCTAATTCTTAAACTGCAGAACAAATTGTAAAATACTTAAAAATTACTATATTATTACAGTCTTCATAAAATTTTCCTTTTCGCACTAGTCCTGTATCTTACTGAATGCATTTACAAAACATGCCCCCAGGAGTTATTCCTCCTTTGTTGTGAATCGTGTCGTGATTTAGTTCGACACCAGCGCCATCTACTCCCGCCTATTCCCTGAGGCAGTACTAAGCTTAAGTAAGTGAGTTAATAATGAATGTGCAGATCACTGGTGCAACAAATCAGAACTTAATTGCCACTGCATTTAGGCTCTAATTTGCTAATTTGGTCTGCTTTGCTCGTCTGTTGGAGGCTGATGTTCTAGACTTGATTGAAACATTTGCTCTGTGTTTAATTAATTATGTAAAGTGGAGTAGGCTAGACTTATTATTAATTCTATTTAATTGTAGTATATTTTTGTATGTATGTACCTAAATAAATTATTATTATTCCAGTTAAACTTAGTACTCAATACAAGCGAATGGTTTGATTGGATATGTAAATGTACTAGTGTAGAAATAATTAAATAGATAGGTACTTAACGCTTAGTTTATTATTATTTTATTTTTTCGCGTATACAGTGCTTCTGTGTAGTATACAGTACACGTACAGTATATAGCTACAAATCAAACTAAACCAAACCAGTATAAACTGACCAGCAAATGTACAGAAAGATCACACAAAGTGAGACCAAAATAAATTAGATTTTTAAACTGGATTTTCACGAATGGGCTCGACCGGAGTGATACCACGGCTTCACAGAAAACCGACGTGAAGTAACGCTTACGTTGTGTTTCGTCGTGTGAGTGAGGTTACCGGAGGCCTAATTACCCCCCTCCCCTGTCTCCTCAATCCCCGAATCCTCCACAATCCTCAAATTCCCATTTCAAAAACCAAGAATTGAAATCTTAGAATTGAAATAAAGAAGTTGTGTCACTCGCTGAATTTTTATCTATGTATTAGAATTATTTATCTATTTAAAGAAATAATAAAATAGACTTTCAGATAGCTTTTCAGTGAGCTAGTAAAAAAAATACAGTATATCATAATCATTACCATTTTAATATCAGCATTCCTCGCTTCGGAAGCTAATTACAATTCTAAAATAATAAAACAATAACTCGGCTCTAAACATTACATAAAGAACTAAGAAAAACACCGAATTTATATTACATAAACATAAATACTTATCAAAAATCTTGGCTCATGACAAGTAAACGAAACGAAAACGCGATAACATCAGCCGATCCCTAAAACCAAGCCGTAAATAAAATATTACTGATAAGGCTTGCACTTGAAATAACATTGATAACAATAATAGTTGTTATATCATATCATTCTGTGTGTTTTGTATCAGTAACCTCTTCACACTCGGGCCTACAACTCGTTCAAAATGCCGATATTCAAATTGTTTACTAATCTGCCTAAGAGCCAAATACCCACTGATTTTGTCAACAAAATTCTTCCTGTTCTATCGAGGACTGTGAAGAAGCCTGCACATGTAAGTGTTATGATAATCTATATGTAGAAAGTTTATGTTGATTTAAATGTTTTGTTTTCATTTAATGTGTTGCTGAGCGTAAAATTAAATATCGTACACTGCTGCACTGATTTAGATAAATATTTGTATATTTTTTATTCGTAAACGGCCTATAGGAAATTTTCGTATGTTTTTTTATTTTACTTTTACAGGTATTTTTTAGTAAAATAAAACTATCCTGTGTCTTTAGCCAAACGCCACTTTAGCGCTTGTCTACAGAGAGAGTAGAAAACTAAATGTACCTATGGGGATGACACTGAGAAGTATCAAAATTTACATCAATCCCATATAATTTGGTTTTCTATTCTACATATAAGTAGACAAGCGCTAAGTGGCATTTGGCTACAGCTGCAGAATACATACCGAATCTATATTCAGTATACAATATAGATCCGATATCCAATATTAAGGATAATTTCAGAATAGTTTATTCTAGCATAGACTAGAATATATATATTTTTTTCACTAAGTTACGTTTATCGTATACCCAGGAATAATTTTGTTATCTGCAGCTATAAATATTTGAGACAAATCACGTATATTTTGAAATATTACGTAACCGATAATCGTGCGTAAACATAATTTACTTATCTAATAATATTACGAATTATTATTTTACTGATATTATTACACTAAGCCCTTATTTATTTAAGAAGATAGTCGTTGTTATTTTGTTTAAATTGTAAACTCTTTATATTATAAAGAAACATTAATTTGGCATTAAAAATGTCATTAATACATCGATTGGAAATGGTCCTGATATTTTATATACGTATATATTTATTTAATATAACCTTTGCTCTGCTGACGCTAATTTTAAAATTTACGTTATATAACAATAAATTATCCTTACTAATATCTTAAATCGGAAAGTGAGTTTGTTTGTTTGTTTGTTTGTTCCGATTTCACGCCGTAACTACTAAACCGATTGGATTGAATTTTTGCAGACGTTAAGTTAGTAGTCTGGATTAAATAATAGGGTACTTTTTATCTCCAAAAAATTTGATATTCCCAAGGGAAAACAAAAGTATTGGTATAGATGGCGCTGTATGTATTGGTATAAGTCACATAGGCTACTTTTTATCCTGTTGTGACGCGAGCGTAGCCGCGGGTAAAAGCTAGTCTTAAAATAAATTAAACGATTAGTTAACAGTTAACAGTACGAATGTATGGAACAATACACTTGCCTTATTGTCTTGATAACTAAATACCAATTTTCCAATCATCAGTTAATTATTCTTAACTGTAGCACAAAATTGTCAGTTTTCACTTAAGTGTGGGAGAGCCATGCTTCGACACGAATGGGCCGGCTCGATCGGAGTGATACCACGGCCTCACAGAAAACCGACGTGAAGCAACGCTTGCGTTGTGTTTCGTCGTGTGAGTGAGGTTACCGAAGGCCCAATTACCATCCCCTTCCCCAATCTCCCCAATCCCTGAATCCCCAACGATCCTCAAACTTCTAATCCCCAAAAGGCCGGTAACGCACTTGTAACGCCTCTGGTGTCCCAGGTGTCCATGGGCGACGCCGATTGCCTACCATTAGATGATCCGTCTGTTTGTTTACCGGCTTATGCCATAAAAAAAGTTTTTACTATGGAGGAATTGTCAAACATTTAAAGTTTTTCCTCATTTAAATTTTACGTGGCTTTAGAAATATCGGCTCTCATTCAAATATTCAAACTCCTTAAATCATTGTTTAAATAGTTCTTTGTGCAATAAAAATTAGGAAAGTACCTAGACTACAAATTTTAATATTCTACGTTCATTTACACCACTTCACAACTTTGTACGAGTGTCATCCTTTAGCAAAACTCTATGCAGCAGCGACACTTCAAATACAATGAAGAACTTACTTTGTGTCGAGGAATTATGCTTGCTAAGCTAGTTGAAATAAAGTTGTAACTTGTACAGCGGCTGACAGAGTGGCTGGGCTTTCAGTAGAATGCCACGGCCACGGTATGCCGGTAGTGAGCGCCAACCCTTAACATTCAACATTTCAACAATAGTTCTTTGTGTTATTACTTCGTAATATTCAAAATTTTAGCTGAGTTGGTCACTGTTTGACTCTTTGACTCTGCAGTCAAAGAGTCAAACAGTAGCATCGTGGTGTCGAAATAAAGTAACATGAACTCTATACTCATTGAAATAAAGGTCAAAATAACTTTATTCGTAATAAAGTCATTTGATAATAATATGCCATGTCGTATAAATATGTGAAAACCCTCTTGGTTTCCGTTACTGACCACAATCACCTACTAAATTCGAATTGAAAATGTTTCTCTATTCAAAACGGTACTTCCAGAAACTCGCGCGTTCAGCCATACAAACAAATATGTAACTACGTAATTATAGTAAAATATGATTATCCCATTTCACAGCTCTTCATCTGCATGGTGTCCAGTGACTGTTCACTATCATTTGGAGGCAATTCCACTGATCCCAGCGCAGTAGCAACCCTGGAGTCCATTGGCAACTTTGGAGTTGAAGAAAACAGACTCATCGCTAAAGAGGTCACCGAATTCATCGAAAAGGAACTTGGCATTCCCAGGGACAAGTAAGTGGTTGCCTATACTTTTTTTATTATTAAGTTCGAATTATTGCTACCAAAAATGGTAAGATTTGGTTCCTTATTTGTAACTCTCTACTGTAAGACCAAAGACCAGATCATTATCTGGTCTTTGGTATATCATTATATAGATAATAAGTATACCAGAACCAGCAGAAATCAAATATTGCATATTGAATTCTGAAGTACAAAATAAGCCCAATTGGTAAAATCAGAACTATTAAATAAATCCTGCATTCCCTTAACCAAGTATACAATTCCCAATTAACTCTTGAAAATACCCATCACACATGGAGTGTTCAGCACATCTAAAGTATTTAATTACACTAATTACTTCACAAAACATTACCCCCAACTCAACAACTGCAAAATGAGTAGCCCTTGAAATAGCCAGAGTGTAAAACATGGATATTTTGGCAACCACACTCATAATACTCTCCTAAACCCCTTTCATGGACCATAATTAAAATGCCCATCATAACTCAAAACATTAAGGATACTTAATGCAACCAAAAATCAAAGCAAACTGCCCCAATGCTGCAAAAATTTGATCATAGAGGTAGATTCCAGTCAATATGCACGTTGCGGTTTCGTAATCCACGTCAAAGCATTCACAACAAAACGAGCACACTCAAATGGCTATTTGAAATGCATTCATGCACTCTCATAGGGACTAATTACAAAATACCTTGCTGTGATCCCAACCGCAGACTTCGCTCAAAATATGTGTAAACAGACGTTTTGCCAAAGGTCGCTGTTATTAAACCGGGCTGCGGTATAGAAATGACATTCGTTTGGGACCATAGATCATAAAAATTAAAATAAAATCAGTATAGAAATAAAACTGAAGTACTTTAAAAATAACCTGAAAGGCTCAGCATGCAATGGGCTCCCAATAGGTATTGATTTTCAAATGTAAATAGAAGTACGACGACATTATATATATATTTTTGATAATAACAATCATAAGTCATTGTATTTTACACTCCTGTGACGAACGTAAACATCAGTAGGTCATGATCACTGACCAACTGAGACCAATGCTGGATAAGGCATTAGACTCAGGCGGATAATACATGAGAGGTTGTGAAAGAAATCTCTAATTATGTTTTTTAACCTGACTTGGCCTTTCTACAAGCGTGTTGCAAATCTCAATTTAGAAGGTATAAGCACCGGAGTATGTGCTGCCCTCTTACTGTCAAATAGCAAAAAGTCAGGACTTTTAAGCAGTGCACTTGTAGCCAACTAACTACAGGTAGTCACCATTTATAGAGTAAAAAAATATTCTACTCACACGGCATTTGATGATTTAATTCAGCAATGTCCGATAATTTTGGAAATAGGCTTCATCGGTCACAAAGGGAATAATTTGACGATAATTGGCTTTGATACTCCGTGAGGCTTATGACATTATCGATGAAATGCAGATATAGAGGTGGAACAATTGGCGACCTATAACCGGCCACTCTAATGCCGTACGTTATAATATTACCCATTTGATATTTAGGTACATTTCATGTATGGGGTAGGTGTCAGAAATTTAGTACAGTCAATAAAGTATTATCATCATCATCAACAGCCTATAAATGTCCACTACTGAGCAAAGCCTCTTCTCACACGTAGAAGGTTAGAGCATTAATCACCATGCTTGCTCAATGCGGATTGGCGATTTTAAACTTATAATTAGAAATTATAAGCAGGTTTTTTTACAATGTTTTTCCTTCACCGTTAGTCAGTGGTGTCTAAATAATCTTAGAAAGTACATATAACTCGGAAAAAGTCACATTGGTACTTGCAGTTGGTAGGTTCCGATTAAACCTAACCTAACCTTTTTTTTTTTTTTTTTTTTTTTTTTTGACCCTGGGAAAATACTTTATGTATCATCCTCCCGTGGGGGACGGGAGGGATATGTGGGACTCTCCGGGAGAAGCCCGGCATACCCACTAAAAACCCAGGAGCACACCAGCGTCGCCGTGTGAGGGGGTCTGGGAGACCGGGTGAACCTTTACGACCAGGACCCCCTCGGCTAGGCCTGCCAAAGATGGCGGGCCATATCACGCCCCTCCCTGTGTCGGGGAGGGGTCTCGGGAACAGTCGTGTGCCAACCGTTCCCGTCCCGCGAAAGGTGAATAGTGCAATGCGGATGTAGGCGCCCCCGCGCCTACCACCCGCTATTCACCCCCGGGAGGGAGAAGGCGGTTGTATTGCCGTCTTCTCCTACCGACTCTACGTCGTCGAAGCGCAGGGGCGAGGGTATCTTCCTCCCTCTCACGCTCTGCCGCCTCCTTTTGCGATATGACGCATTCGCAGAAAGAGGCCATCGCCGCCCATGTTTCCTCGCTCCCCAACATTGCGCGTACTACGCAGGGGAGTGAGAGGTCTTGTCCGACCGCCGCGACAAGGTTCTGACGCGGCTCGGACCACGATGGGCACTCTTCGAGTGTGTGCCGCACCGTGTCCTCTGTCGCACCACAATGATGGCACGACGGGTTCTCCTCCCGCCCGATGCGGTGCAGGTACGACCCAAAACAACCGTGACCTGTCATCACCTGCACCAGACGGAAGGAGAGAAATCCGAATGGCCGCTCGAGCCAGGTCTGGAGGACCGGCCCGATTGCATCCAACGTCCGTCGCCCAAAGACTGCAGTGGCGAGATCGTCCGCCCAATGTAGGACGATGGCCTCCTGGCCTCCTGCCCTCATGCCGCACTGCTTCCCGGACCTCATGAGCCGGACGCTCTCCTCGCGCCCTCCGCTCCGCCGTCCACTCGTACACTCTGGCGAGCACCCACGCTTCGAGCTCCCAAGGGGGAGTTCCCGCCAGTGCGCACGCCGCCGCAAAACCCACTGTGCGGTAGGCCCGCGCCACCCGCTGTGCGATAGCCCTTTGGGGCACGCGAAGGGCGGTGGTGTTCTCCCTCCTGCGCAGGGAGTCCGCCCAAACTGGAGCCCCATAAAGGGCCATGCTCCGTAGTATGCCGGCGTATAGACGCCGGCATCGCGCACTGGGCCCTCCCAGGTTTGGCATGAGCCACGAGAGGGCGTTCGCCGTCTTTAGGAGGCGCTTCGACAGATCGGCGAAGTGGGGGCCGAAGCGCCATCTGCTGTCTAGGATGAGACCCAGATATCTCATCTGACCCTCCACTGCAATTCTCTCGCCATCCACAAATATGTGGGCCTCAGGAGGAGGGCGCTGCCTCGGTCCGTGGAAGAACACGGCTTCGGTCTTGTGCAGCGCCACTGTCAGCCCCAAACGGCGGATCCTGTCGGCAACCAAGGAGCCACCCGCCGACGCCAGGCTGGCCGCCGTCGTGAAGGTCCCGCGGGCAGTGAGGAGAGTGTCGTCTGCGTAGCAGATGACACTCGTCCTGTGAAGGAGCGTTCCCCGCAGGAGCCAGTCGAAGCCGACGTTCCATAGGAGGGGTCCTAACACCGACCCCTGCGGAACGCCGGTCTCCACAGCGTAGCGCCGAACCTCCCCGTTTCTATTTGCAAGGAGTACGGTCCTATCCTCCAAGTAGTTGGTCAGGAGGACCCGAAGGTATTGAGGCACTCCGTGGAATCGGAGCGCCTCTAGGATGGTGGAATGGGGGACGGAGTTGAATGCGTTGGCTATGTCGAACGACACAGCCAACAGTCCTTCCCCTTCTTCTACGGCCTCCTGAACCTGGCCCTTGAGGCGGGTTAAGGCGTCCACGGTCGACCGCTGAGCCCGAAAGCCGTACTGGGCGTCTGACAAATCCGGCCCCACACATGCCAAATGGCGGTTGAGGCGAGCAGCGATGATCCCCTCGAACATTTTGCCGACCTCATCGAGCAGAACGATGGGCCGGTATGCCGAGGGGGAGTCAGCCGGACGTCCCTGTTTGCGGAGCAGACACAACTGCCCCTCCTTCCAAGGTTTCGGGAACCGCCCCGTTGCGAGACACGCGCTGAAGAGGTCCCGAAACCGCTCCTCCATTTGGGAGGCAGCAATGACCACCACCCTTGCAGGGACGCCGTCTGGGCCGGGGGCAGTTTTCTTTGCCCGGAGGCGGACCAAGGCCGTGTGGATCTCGCTGTCCGTGACAGCGGGAGCCTGTTCCTCCTCTTCCGCTAGGGCCCTCCCCCGAGGGGGATTCATTACTGGAGGGGAAAACTCTTCGTTCCTGCGCGGAAATAGGGAGCGTACCACCTCATCCAGCAGGGGAGGCTCGAGGGTCTCTGTCACCGGGGGACCTGAGGGGCGCAATTTGTTTCGCGCCGCCTTATACGGTCTCCCGAATGGATCGCCGTCGAGGGACTCCAGCAGCTCGGCTCTCGCTGAGTCTTTGGCGGCACCGATAGCTGACTTGAGGGCCGTCTTTGCCGCCACGTACGCTTCGTACAGACGGTCCTCGTCAGTTTCGTCTCGGCGCCGCCGACGGCGGCTCCGCGTGAACTGGCGTTTAGCCGCCATGCACACTGCCCGCAGTTGCGCCAACTCCTCCGACCACCAATACACAGCGCGGTTTGGAGGTGGGCGACGAGACCGAGGCATGCTGGAGTTGCACACTTCGGTCAGAGACCCTCTTAGTTGAGACGCTGCGGCGTCGACATCTGCATTCAGGACGGCAGGGGGCGAAAGCCAGTCCTGCAGGAACGCGGCCTCCTTTGCAGCCTCCCGGTCTAGGCGGGTGAGAGCCCACCGAGGAAAGGGGGATCGGGCCGACGATGTAGAGTTCCCCCGACGGCTCTGGTGGAGATTTCGAACCGCACGTATCGGTGGTCCGACAAGGTCTCCACCATGTCCACCCGCCAGTTCTCCACACGCGCGGCTAGCGATGGGGATGCAAAGGTGACGTCCACTATGGACCCACCCTGCCGCCGCACGCATGTTTGAACTCTCCCCCTATTTAGAAGGGAGAGACCAGAGGAGGCTGCCCACGCCTCGAGCGCCCGCCCACGGGCGTCGGTAGCCGGGTTGCCCCACGTCTCCGACTTGGCGTTGAGGTCCCCCAGCACAGAGACCTGT